AAAAAAAAAAAATAAAGAACGGGGGAGAAAAAAATTACCATCACCACCACCATCACCGAAGAAGAAGAAGAAGGGGGAAAGATAAAAGGACGAAGGGAAAATTAAATTCCGTCGAGATAAATAAATCAAAAAGAAGAAGAAGAGGAACTGAAAATAAAAATAAAAATTCAACGTGAAAATAAATAAAACGAAAAGCTCGATTCTCTCAATTGGAAATATTAAATAAATCATTTCTCACACGTCTTTATTATTTTCTTTTTTTTTTTTTTTCTCTTGAGCAATAAAAAACCAAGAGTACATTAGCAACCCTACACACCATAACACACCACCCCATCCCACCCACGTGAATAATTTCAACACATCAACGAAATCAAAATCATTTCAACAAGAAGTATACTACTGCAAACAATGTGTGATTAAATTCGATTAGGGGATGATAAGATAAAAATTGGAAAAAAAAAATAAATCAATTCCTATCGTAGGAACACCATAAAAGTTGACGAGGATAATAATCGTTTTGAAATACGAAAAAGAAAAACAAAAAGCGAATTGAGAAACATCGAAAAGGGTGTTTGGTGGGGAGTGGAGAGGAAAGGGGTAAGGGGGAGGATATTGTTGATTGGTTATCTTGAACATTATGCAGGGTGTGGGGGAGGGGGAGAAGGAAGAGCAGCAGCAGCATCAGCAGTCAATCTATCGGTATAACTCAACTTCCAAATTGGTTTCTTCCTTGGTGTTGGGTGAAAAAGTAAAAGAAGAAAAAAAAGAAAAAGAAAAACAGGAAGAAGGGTCGTTAATAGTAACGATAGGTGGCGGAGGAGGGGGAGGAGGAGAAGGAGGAGGTGGAGGGTGGGTGTTAAAGTGGTTGTTGGTTAATACTCATGGGAATATTATGATCGTGAAAGATAATAATCGTTGCAAGTGACGAGAAAATACGCGAGTTTAAAGTTTCCATCGGGAAAACTAGAAATTCTATTTTCTTCGATTTGCAATAAGTCCGAGAGAAAGAGGAAGATAACAATAAAAAAGGAAACAATAGAATTGAAGAAGTATTACTATTATTATTATTACTACTATGATTCTAATATCTTCACAGCAAATTAAAAATAATTGTCTCGAAATATTTCTACACGAGACACAATCATAATTATTAATCATAATTTTGGATTATTTTCTCATTAATCTTTTTTCCACACGTGTTGATTGACTTTGAGTGTGCGAATGAGATCTAATCGAGGAACACATAATTTATTCAATTATAAAAAAAAATATATATATATATAAATATAAATAATATTAATAAAGATTCTATTAATTATCATTAATTCGATGATCTAAATCACAATCTCAAATTTATTTTATATTTAATATTTGCTCAAAAAATATAAATAAAAACAATAATAATAACACACACACATACACGAGCGAGAAAAAAAAATAAGAAAATTAAGGAAGAAATCGTTGAATTTAAATTAACATTGGAACAAAAAAAGGAAAGGGGTCCCATTGACTATGAAGATGAAGAGATCATCGGGATGCTGCACGCTGTTATGCTAGGGAGTGGACCAGGACGCGGTAGACGCGAGTGGTATCCTGGATTTTATCTTCAAAGTCGTAGATTAGGTCGAAGAATGAATCGTGGCGAACAGGAAACGTTGTTTCGGCAAAGCCGACAATTGACACGAATTGTACCATCCCATGAGGATCTTGTCCTTAGTGTACTCAAAGCTCCCATAAGTCAACAACAGCAGCAACAACAACAACAACAACAGCAACATAGACACTATAAACAACAACAACATCAAACTCATTTTCAGGAACATCATTTCAACTGTCAAACACGTTTGGCTCATGGCAGGTGTAATCATTCAGGTATATTCCTGAATCATAATTCCAAATTTTGGATAAACAATACACGTTCGATGCCGTTGTTTTGTTTTTTATTAATTTATTATTTATTTATATTCATTTATCTTTATTTTTCTCTCAATCTGTTGGAATCTTAATTTTATATAAACGTTCATTTTTGGTATTTCATTTTTTTCGGATGGTTTTGTTTTTCAGAAATGGTGATGCATTTGTTTTATCGGTTTAAACGATTTTTTTTATTGTTTTTCTTTTTTTCGTATATTTATTTTTGACAATAGGAAATGTCATAATATAGAATGTTGTAATACACTCAGATGACACGAGTGTGTGCGATTTTTGTTTATAATTTGTAATTAAAATTGATTTATCTTATCCGATCGTGTGTTTATCGTACTATTCAAACAATTTGCAATGAAAAGTATATATTTTTAATATCTGTTGTGTATGTAAATTATTTGTTTTCTTTTTTGTTATCTTTAATTTGAATTAATAATTCTACATATACCACTGGTAGTAATGTTGTTGCAATTATTTTATTATTACGATTCTTATTATTATAAATATTGTTTTTAATTATTGTCTCAATTATATGACGGATATTAATTATTATTATTTAAAACAACAACGCGTAACTTTCTCTCGTAATTATAAATAAATTATATCTCTTTCGTTGTTGTTTTTTTTTTCTTTTACTTTTTGATTAATTTTAATGAAAATTTTAATGACATTTTAAACTGTACGGCATTAAACGTGTCGATCAAAAGTATGCGCATCAAATTTGATTGGACGTATTGTATCCTCTATTTTCCATGAAAATTTACGCATCACTTTTATCATCGATGCTGTTGGATATCAAAATACGTATGTGACAAACATACTAATTCATAATATCAATCGGTATAATTAATTCGATATTACGTTTCGATGTGATACGAAAATGATTCATTTAAATATATATATATATATAATAGAAAGAAAAATATAAAATAAAAATTAATATATATAT